CAAATATTTTTTAGCTTTTTAGTTGCAAGTTTCTTTCTTTCATCGTCGCCTTGAGCCCAGATAACCTGGTCTTGCATTTAGTCTGCAGCATTTGATTTGATTTTGATAGGTTATTCAGTACATTTGCCATTATTTTTTTATGTTTGTCTAATCGATTTAGCATTTTGATATAATATGTTTTCTGAAAAAATTGTAATTTCTACTAGGTCGTGGAGAAAGTCTATATCGCACTTTTGCAGCTCTAGATGTATTTATCGTGATGTATCTCAGCGTTCCGTAGGGTAAAATTATCTTTTGCTTTTTCTTTGTCTGAGAATTTTGATTTTGTCTGTTACTACTCATTGTGTGCTTTTGTTTTATTATCCTTTTCTTAAATACTTCCATTAAAAAAATAAATTAATATTTAGGCTTAAATTATCAATTAATCCTTTATGAAATTGGAATTTTTATCGGGTATATCGTTTTGCCTATGCTCTAATTCCATATTTAATTCTTTTTCTTATTTAAACGAATAGTAGATAGATTTGCACACATTAAATACGACGGTATCTACCTGATTTTTTAACTATTTTTTAAATAGATATTTAAAAAATATTTAAGAACGTTCTTACTAAAGATATGAAGACCAAGATGTTGTGGCCTCTGGTATGGTCGCAGTTCTTACTAAAGTTATAAACCATGATTAAATCTATCATTCAATATTTTATTATATGTCGCTTTGAATTATCTTTCTATACTTCATCGTGAATTCATATACTCATGCCATTCTTCCTCCCACGATGATTATTTTCTTCACAAGCCGTACTATTTCGCCACTAAAAATCTTTTTTATGCAGCTTTTGTTATATTTCGAATAGCTTCTTGCTCATACTGTAGCATTATAACTTTCATTGTACGACATCAACGGTCCGATGCTGAATTTTATAACGAATACAGTACTAGGTAAGTTCCACAAGGTCCTTCTGTCTCCCCTTAAACGAGGTAATATCAGCAGTATATAGATAAAGGGACTGCAATTAATCTGATGACCAAACCATTTTAGTCTTCATATCCACGACCTTGCATTACTTCGATCTGCTATTTCGAGGCCCGTCTGATATGCTACATAGGCTTTTTTGAATACAGGAGGCAGTTACTAGCCATAATTGAGATATACCACAACTATTCAGCAAGCATTCGGCCAAGAAATGTACCTTACTTATCTCTGACGAATTAAAATTTGGTCTAGAGTACTAAAACTCCGATTATCTTGCCGGCTAAACGATTGGGAATATACCAAGTTCATGTTTTCCCTCTGGAAATTATTATGACTAACATATTAGAGGACTGTATAAAGTGAATTTGTCGATCTCGTAAAAATTGCAAAAACACGATAAAACCACTTCTGGGATGTTCCAAGTTTGTGCTTTCACGAATGTATTACTCTAATATTGCATGGGTTTTATATTGGTCAAAGTTTATTTGATCCACGAATACGGATTTTATTGGTACCTTTTTGCAGTGTTTATCGGTTTAGATTAAACATTCTTTTTATGAGCTCAATTTGCTGTAAAAAAGATATAATTTTCAATCTTGGTCTTGTTTTTTTAATTTTAAAAGTGTGAATTTTTCTTACTTTTGGCTTTTAAATGCGATCTTCAGCTTGCTTTAAAATTATGTAAGTCCATATATCATTATTTACCCACATTTTCTGTTTATCTATCTAACTCTTTATTCTTTTATATTTTCTATCCTTTTTATTGAAATCGAAATCTGATTATCCAGACTCTCTACAACTAACCAAGAATGGTGATATCATTGATCCTGAAGGGCATCTGGTTGCCCACTTTCCCTTGTCAAGTCTTAATTCTTCATCAAACTTCTCTTCCTCTGCCAGCATCGGCTCTTTATCCTCTGCTTCCTCATCTAGTCTTGTATTTGATAAAACAAATTCTCTACTCGGTGACTCTATGTCTCGCCATCTCAACTTCACGCCGCGGACGACTGGCCTAGACTCATCACTTCATCCACCACATCATCAACACCCGTATTCTCACGCATCTTTGCCTTTGCCTTCAGGCCCATCTGTTCCTGGCACTCCTGCTTCCCTAACCTCCACTCTCTCTAGCAATATAACTCCTGGACTTGCTCGCGTAATGGGCGTGGTTTCTGCGATTCGACGCAGCTTGCTTCGGCTTGACCTAGACACAACGACTGCTGCGTTGCCCTCGCTTGGCCTAGGATTGAATAAGGCGTTGTTACGTATCATCATGTCGGGCTGTGTAGCCACCTCAGTATACCTGCCTTCATTTGGCCATGAGGTCTACATATCTCAGGTAACTTGGGCGCTGAAATGGCTGTTCTACATACTCTTTTTTTTGTAACATTTGCCTAGGGCTCCAAGCGAACACTTGTGGCTATGATCAATTATACATTTTATCCACTAAGTAGATGGTGGATTTAATTGACTCATGGGATTTTTCTACATTACAGCAACAAGTGAGTTATTTTCAAGGCAGTTTAAGATCGAATGGAGATTCATTGGTTTGTCTCAACAACAATTATCTTATTTTTACCGACACAACTGCTATCAAAATACTTTAGATTTGCTTATTAATGAATAAATATACTCTCTACTAAAAAATAATTTTGCAAGCTATCTGTGTACGAATGACTGCTTTTTGCTAAACGGATTGAGATAATCCTGATTCCACTAGATGGCAAGTATTATAGTAAGAACTGTTGAGGGTTGCTTAGACTCTGCTGAGCTAATCTTAATGACGGGAGAACGAAATTATAAGTGACTATGTGTATAGTTGGCCCAAAGGTTCTGATTAAGACTTATTGCTAGTGAGCATATTAAGAGGGGATAATTACTTATAGTCAATTTGTTCTCTAGTGGTTTTGACCAAAACGACTTATTTGACAAATAGAGTTTAATGTCAGTTACACTCTTTATTCCCTTCGCCATAAATTTTATGTTTATATATTTTAAGTCACTATCTATTTTGTATAACGCACTTGAGTGGTTTGTGCTTTCGTCTGAGTGTACTTGCGAGTTCATGTCCAATGAACTGATATTCACTTTGACTATGCTTAATTTTAACTACGAATGCTCTTAGATATGAACACCAAAACGGTGTGACCTTAGGCTTAGTTACAGTTTCCCTTAGTTATATTGGGTTGATTTGACCCCGTTTTCGCAACTTAGTCGAGGCTGCAGGGAGATCTTGTGCAATACTTCGCCGACCATGGCCATCCAAAATCTGTTCTCACATTTCTTCTCTCATCCTATTCTCACTCTCATTCCATTCTCATTTCTCTTTGGCTTGTAAACCCGGATAACCTAGTTATCATATTCTCCCTCCCAATCTCTTTTCAAGATGCCACCTCAGCAGCCAACACTAATCACGCGATACCCGGGTGACTACATCGCACCCTGGTCGCATGGAAGGAAAAAGTTGGATGAGTTCTTATTTTCTTAAACAGTATTGATTGATTTGTGGACTTATAGTATCTTCGCTTCTACGAAGCCCTTTAGAAAATATTGTTAGGAAAATGGTATCACACAGGAATAATAATAAAATTCCAGTCTCTTAATTTTAATGAAGATCGGCGTAGTAATGAGTATGATCATAAGAAATCTGAGATTGATATATATGGAATTTAAGAGAGATGAATTGGACAAACTGGTTCTGGTGTATCTAGAGGACAATTATCCAAAGGAAATGTGATGAGCAGATGGTAAGACGGTAATTATGAATGGAAAACAATGGAGACAGAGTTAAAAATGTGATACATTTACCCTTCTACCAACCTACTCTCTGCTACTAAATTGGAAAATTCTTACGATCTCAAATAAGAAAGAACAATAATCCACAACAAATTGCAGTGTTTATGAGTTTACTGAGTTCAAAGGATCATGGCTATCAAGTTAGGATAAGAGGGAGCAGCTGACAAAAGTTTGATGAAGTGACTTGCCGAATGAAAAACTAATTGGGATCAGATAGCCATACAGAGGGGATGCGAAATCAGTGGTGAAAATACTTATGCCTCATTAAACCTACTTAAGGCTACACATGGTAAAGATATTGGTATAAACGATGGTACAGAATAATATTGTTAAGGATTGGGGGAAAAAGGAGGGAAGATAAGCTACAACGTTTAAGCACAAACTTGCTCGGGATGCTTGCCCT